TAAGGGAGCTAAGGCAAGTAAGTCCAATGGCGGAGATGCAGCAAAGCCGAAGGCCGCAAAGCCTAAGGGCAAGACTAAGAAGTGATCATGATCTTAGCCCAGGTAGATCCAGGTGTGGTCGTTCACTAGTGATCTAGATCTACGGTGGCATGGTATAGGAGATAGGAGCCAGAGGAATCATGACGATTCCGCCCGGCTCAAGTCTGATTCGGGCGCAAGCATTCCTGAACCTCTATGTATTCAATGCACTAACCGTATATACATTTACATGTATAGGCCTTATCCCAAAGCCCTGCAGCCTACTCCCGAAACCCTAATAAAAAGTCCAAGCGACCTATACCTGAATCGGACTGAAGCTGGAACACCGGATCTCCTGAGCGCTGATCGTGATCGCAGGGAAGCGCCTGCAAGGCCAGGTGGCTGGATTCTGAGGCATGAGAGGGTCGTGCCGCAGAACATCGAAAGTAGGACCCCAACCTAGGCCTCGACACTCCCTTTAGAAACTGCGTGTTCTAATCGATAACCAGGAATACGACTTACTATGTACGTATGTGTGTATGCATGAACAATGCAATAACTTGTCACCCCAACGGCCTTAAAACCCAGATTCCTATGTAACCATGTTGATCGTATCTACCCTGGAAGCCTCAGCAAAGTCTCGGGTATTTGTTTAGGGTTTGGGGGCTTTAGGGTTGAGGGTGTGTAAGGGGTTTATAGGGATTAGGATTTCGGCGGGGCTTTGCTGAATCTTCACTTCCTCGCACAGGCTTCGTCATTGTCGGTTGGGTCGGTTGGCATCACCCATCCCTTGTAACCCAATTCAAACCCTAAACCTCAAGCCCTTATAAGCCCTAAACCCTAAACCTTGAACCCTGAACCCTGAATCCTGAACCCTGAACCCTAAACACTGAACCCTAAACCCTGAAACCTAACCCCTAAACCCCAAATCCTTAAGCCCTCAGGGTTTATTTAGTATGCAATAGTCCTGCACTTGCCGCAAGATGTTCTGCGACACAAGTAACATGCTGAATCCAGATCTAGATGTGAGGGTGTGCAAAATATCGCCCTCCACTTCGATACATGTTAACCTGAGCATTTCTCTTCGGGGCTGGGGCGGGGCTCCAGTCTTGAATGATTTTGAAAGCTCGGGACAGCTTAGAAAAGCTGGCACCATCCGGTGAAGTTGCTTCAGGAAATGCTGAACGGACCCGTCTGTAGACGGAGGCTTCGCACAATCGGGGTCAGTGAGAAATATTCCGATCGTGTGTGCACCACCATGTGAAACACAAGTCTGTCATGTCACTCTTTGTCTCTCTTTCTATCTAGCTGTCTTTACATACACTCACACGCGCAGGTGCTCAGCAAAGAAAAGAGGAACCCCGTGCTGCTGTTGCTCAACAAGCATTTATTGACTTTGCAGAAGGGCACACGAGTGCGCAAAGAACGATACTGCGTGCCCAAGCAGCTGTGGAGGTGGGTATCTCTCGAAAGTAGCAATCCCTACTACAACAGCACCAATCCCTGGCCTATATGTATTGATCCCTGTACACCCAGAACCAACCAGGAAGCTGGGCATGATCATGTGGCGCTGGCCACCTCCAAGCTCAGCTGCATAGGCGGCAAGCGGCTGAAGAATGCCTACCGGGATGTTTTCCGGTTTGTGCGCTTGCCTCTTGTTCCTTGGTGTGGTTGCGTTGTAGTCGTGTGAATCAGGCAGTGAGATTGA